AACTCATTAAAATTTCACGATGGACAAATAGCTTCAAGTGAGAAAAATGAAAAAAAGAGAGAAACTTTTGAATTTACATTGATTATATATGAACGTGTATTCCATATCTATAATATTACCTTAGAAATAGCAATTGTATATACTACCATTGCTCTGTAATATTGTTGGCTTAATTAGATACTTAAATTTACAGAAAGTGCAACCGGAGCAATCAACAAACCGACCAACACGTGTTTCCAATGCCAAAAAGTACCGAGGTTTCATTTCATATGAGCGAGAGAGTATTTCTTACCGGGATCCAAATGAGCGTGTAAAAGATTGGAAGGAAGTTGCAATTGAATCAGTGCCAGGGCCACTACTGAACACACAGTCTGCTCGTTGTATGGATTGTGGAACTCCTTTCTGTCATCAGGTAATATTCAGCTTTGTCCCCCTTTCATTGGTATTATTTTTGTTGGATTGTTGTTAGGTTAAGGTTATTGTTTTCAATTTATCTTACTGTTGAATTCAAGGACAATGATGAGTAATTTTACATCTTAGACAGTAAAAAGTTGCCACTATTTAGGCATTGATAATACTTTTATGATAACTTAATCGTAGATATTGTTTGTCTTAACTTGTCCAGAAAACTGCTGGCTTGTTGCCTTTTTTTTTTCCCAAAATTTGTTACTAATATACCTCCTAATCATGGCTTGTGGTAATATCTCTATGTAGTGAGTACACATTAATGTATTGTTTATCCATTGAATGAATATTGTGATTCTTTTCATGGTGCTTATTATAAACTTCAATATTGTTGCAGGAAAGCTCAGGTGCTGGCTGTCCTCTTGGAAATAAGATTCCAGAGTTCAATGAACTGGTTCACCAGAACAGATGGCGTGAAGCACTAGATCGTCTGCTTGAGACGAACAACTTCCCTGAATTTACTGGAAGAGTATGCCCTGCTCCCTGTGAGGGATCATGTGTTCTTGGCATTATTGAAAATCCAGTATCTATCAAAAGCATAGAATGTGCGATCATAGACAAAGGTTTTGAAGAGGGATGGATGGTACCGCGGCCTCCACTTCAAAGAACAGGGTATTCTTTTGCGATGTCATTTTTTTTTGTCTAATTTCCATCACGCTTTTAGTTGTTATTTCATTACAAGGTAACATCTGAGAAGCTATTAAAATATGAACTCCTTGTTTTGCAGAAAGAAGGTTGCCATCATTGGAAGTGGTCCGGCTGGTTTGGCTGCTGCAGATCAACTAAACAAAATGGGCCATTTTGTTACTGTGTTTGAACGTGCTGATCGTATTGGTGGTCTGATGATGTATGGAGTGCCAAACATGAAGACAGACAAGATTGAAATTGTGCAACGCCGTGTCAATTTAATGGCAGAAGAGGGCATTACATTTGTAGTGAACGCTAATGTAGGCAGTGATCCTTTGTATTCAATTGAGCGCCTCCGTTCTGAGAATGATGCAGTCATTTTGGCTTGTGGAGCTACTAAACCAAGGTAACAGATCTAAAATGTCGAATCGATCATTTCTATCTTACCATGCTTTACTGGTGATGGTAGATTGTTAAGTTCATGAGAGCTATCAGCAAAAGTAAACCATATGCTTGTATTATGAGTTGACATTTAAATGATATTTTGTTCAACAGGGATCTAGGTATTCCTGGACGCGAGTTATCAGGAGTTCATTTTGCCATGGAGTTCCTCCATGCAAATACGAAAAGTTTACTTGACAGCAACTTGGAGGATGGTAGATACATATCTGCCAAGGGGAAAAAGGTTGTGGTTATTGGTGGTGGTGACACAGGCACAGATTGCATTGGTACATCTATTCGGCATGGTTGCACCAGCATTGTAAACCTTGAACTTCTTACCAAACCACCAAGCAAGAGAGCAGCTGATAACCCATGGCCACAGGTAAATATATGTCCCTAAATGTGATAGATTAGCTGGCTTGGCTAACCTTGCAGGAAGCTTTCATACAAAACAAGGCACATCTGTAAAATAGTTTCTTATCATGGCCTTGGATCTGTTTTGCTCCTATCATTTCCTATTGGGAATATGTTCTTATGTTTTGTTTCTACTTGTAGTGGCCTAGAATCTTCCGTGTTGACTATGGGCACCAGGAAGCATCTAGTAAGTTTGGAAATGACCCAAGAACTTACGAAGTCCTGACCAAGCGTTTTATTGGTGATGAAAATGGAAACGTGAAGGCCCTTGAGGTGGTCCGGGTCAAGTGGGAGAAAGTCGATGGGAGATTCCAGTTCAAAGAAATTGAAGGCTCAAACGAGACCATTGAGGCTGATCTTGTCCTCCTAGCTATGGGGTTCCTAGGCCCTGAAGCGGTTAGTTTTCCCCCATCACCAAAAGCGGTTAGTTATACTGTTGGGTAAGGTTGGTGAGAATGTTCATTAAATAATAACAAGCTGTTTCCCTTTCTGCAGACTATTGCTGAGAAACTAGGTTTGGAGAAAGACAACCGGTCTAACTTCAAAGCTCAATTTGGAAACTTTGCAACCAGTGTGGATGGCATTTTTGCTGCCGGGGACTGCAGACGTGGACAATCACTTGTTGTTTGGGCCATCACCGAGGGGCGGCAAGCTGCTGCAGCTGTCGACAAGTACTTGTCAAGGAATGAACAAGATGCCGCAGAGGACATAACCCCCTCGGGTGCAGGTTTTGTGCAGCCTGTTGCAGCATAAATGAAACAGGCAAACTTTTCAAGACCAGTGCAATCTAAATTAGGATCAACGTTTTTAGTCTTTGATCACAGCAAGTTGTCTTTGAAAGATAAGGCCGGGCTCAATAGGGAAAAGAGAAGAGCCTTCTTATATTTTGGTAGATAAACAATTGGAAATTTTGGTGTGTTCTGCTTGTTACTTTTCCAGTAAAATGATTTGCATGGTGAAATGCCGTTTTGTAATCTGAATAATAATGTACAGTTGTTTTGGTTTAATTAATAGATGTAAATTTGTCTATTAATCTTGCCATTTAGTTTCTTGTTTCTGTGCAACTGCTATTGTTGTTCGAATTGTCGAGCTGGTATACCTGGTGAACATGCCATGAAAGTGTGAAATTTGTTGCACTCGATTGGATTTGTTGTAAGTACTGAGTTGTGTTTGGCATATTTGAACACTTGCAACGAGAACAAAAATATTGCACAATGCATTTACAAACACTAGTTGCAGCAACACAACGGAAACGGGACAGTACAACTTGGCCATCAGGAGTAAATGTCACCACAATAATAGAGGGGACCAATTCAACACACAATTTAGCATCCATTATAATTTACAAGTGTTTAATTTACTTTATATTTTATATATAAGTAAATGCCTTTCGTGGCCAACACAATGCATCGAGACTTCGGCGTGGATGAAATAGTAAAAGTGACACGGATCTTGAATATACCTTGGTGACGATATAGATCCAAATCAACCTTAGCTCCAAGAGTGTGTGTGTGTGTGTATGTGGTGAAATCCGTCTCGTAGGTGAATTGAACGGGTTTTGGAAGGATTTCACACTAAATCTGATTAGAGTAAGGGCGGAGCTAGAAATTTTATGAAGCTGGACAAGTTAATAAAAATTATATAAAACCACTACCCACTTATCAAATGTTTATATGCCGATTTTACTACTAAATTGAACACATGAAAGTTTTTCCTAATAAAATCATAGTTTAACATGCATGTAAATTTTCAATAGTTGAAAAATCTGATAGTTTATAATATAAACGAACAATTCATATGGCTAGCACTTAAGTCAACCATATCAGCCACTATGAAGCATGCTTGCTCCAAAGGCTTATAAGTTATAATTAGTAAGAGCTTAGCCTGCTAACTACTCCCTTCATCCCATTATCCCTTCATCCCGTTATATAAACGATTTTGGAGGGATGTGCCGTATCCAATGCTACGAATCTGAACAAAAATATGTCAAGATTCATAATATTAGAATATTTCACATTTCTCTAAAATCGCTTATATTATAGGACAGAGTGAGTATGTTAGAAATCAAACAAATGGGTGGACTTTTACACAATAAAATCAGTAGACTTCAATGGATCGTGCAGGCAGAGCCCGGCAAATGCACGTGCTGGCAGGCGATGAATTCACCGCTATTTAGAGTGATCATATTTTGTGATCCATGTCTTCTCTGTTTAGGCAATTATAATTGCATTAAGAGTAATAACAACCAAACAAGATAGTCAAACTAAATTAACTCAAAGTATAGAAAATGTACCAGTCAACGCGAAACTATTCTAAACTCTCGAGGGAAAATTTCCTCGTTGTTTGCATGTCATCTAAATGGTATGAAAAAATTTGAAAAAAAATTAACAAGATATATTAATATGTGATGAATCACTCCACTAACATGCAAAGTCAAATTTAACTTCAACAAGTTGCAAAGAAAAAAAACATATTTGGCTATCAATATACGCTAACTAGCCATTGTTTAATTTGTTTATTTTAACTTGAAGAAGTTGAATTTTTAACTTGCATATTTATAGAATAAATCTATCACATATTAATCTATTTAGTTAATTTTTTTATTTTTTCATAACTATTTAAATATCATACAAATGACGACACCACACAAACGGCGGCCCAAGCCCTGGCCAACGCCATAGTACAATTATCCGCAACGTATGGCTAGCTCAACCCTACTGTAACACGAACAGGCGTGCCGTCAGATCCCAGCAAAGTTGCAGAAGTTACCAAATAACCAAACCCCAAGAGATACGCCGTTGACGGTCTAAGCCCGGCTGCCGCCTGCGGTCATTCCATGCCAAAGTTTCGATCGGGCAACGGCGACGTTCATCAGTACAGTACTTAACACGACAAAAAAACCCCCGAAAAACCCAATGAAACCGTGCCAGAGCATCGTGTCAGTCACACCAGCGAGACAGACCACCGCGCCACGTCCGTCGCCTCTAGCTCCGTCGACCGGCGCGATAACCCTGGTCAATACGCTCGGGGCTTCTCCGGCTCCACCGCTCGCGCGCGTCCTTTTACCCTTTTGAACAGGTCACCCCCCACATCGCCGCGCACGCTATAAAGCGCGCGCATGGCAAGCCACCGCCAGAGTGGCACACCACCACCACCGCTGCTGACTTCATCGCATCAGAACCACTGCAATAACCACTGGGTGCGCGCGCGCGTGCAGCGGCCAGCGGCTGGATTAGCTCTACGAGGCACAGGCGCGCGCCATGGGCAACGCCGCCGCGCGGGGCATGCGCCACGACGACTACGCGACGGCGGCGGCGGCGACGGGCGGGAGGAGGAGGAAGAGATGCTCCAAGAACACGGAGGCCGGGAGCGTGCCAGCATCCGTGCCCGGGCGTCGTGGGGCGGAGCACTCGGCCGCCGCCGCCGCCACGGGAGTGACGGTGAAGGTGGTGCTGAGGAGGAAGGACGCGGAGAGGCTGATCGCGAGGCTGAACGAGCAGAGCGCGATGGGGCGGAAGGCCAGGATGGCGGAGATCAAGAGCGAGATCATGGCGGGAGACGGCGGCCGTGGCGCAGCCGCCGCCTCGGCGAGCCCCGGGCGGTGCCGGGACGCATGGACGCATAGGCTGGCCCCGATTCAGGAGAATTAGCTAAGCAACCAGTATGTCTACTAAGTAGAAGTAGTTTATAGTTAGTAGTACGTACACGATTTTGTTTGGTCACCCTGCAGCCATGTGCTACGTAGGAGTATATTAGCGGAAAGAGGTGGCAACGGACGTAGTTGCGTACACTTGTTGTTACTGTACTGGTTTCAATCGATGTCCTAGTATACTTGAATCAGTTAATTGCCAGCTCGGTATGCACTGCTGCTTGAAAATCCAGTGACACTGAAAATTTAAAATCAGATCATCGACGCATCCTAGTTTTCCTCCTGCCATAAAAGAAAAACAAGAGCCGAGTACTGCACCTACAAACCTGAAAAGAAAATTAGAACTGCAAAAATGATGCACGCCCACACACTGCACCCTACATAAACGATTCAAGGCAGATCAAAACAGAAGACAACTAACTGCTCGAAACGACGGTGATTTAATTTCATCATAAAGAGTCATTCGACCAGTTGCAAAATCCCCTGTATGCCGTTACGCTTGCCCCGGCCGCGTAGCTGAAAGCAACGGGACGATGGCCCAGTGCCACCATTTTTTAACGCGCTCAGCTTCGCGGTTCGCGCTGGACTGCGGGAGGCTGGCACCAAGGCACGCCAGCGCGAGCTGACGTGCTAGGTTAAAGGCTGTGATTAGCTCAGCGCAAAGTTTGTATTTTAGTTGAAATTAAAGATGATGTGACTGAAAAATTGTGTGTGTATGACAGGTTGATGTGATGGAAAAGGACTGAAGTTTGGATCCAAACTTTGGATCTAAACACAGCCACAGTCCACTCCTCCTCCCCCTGGCCGAGTCTTTTCCTTGCCTCTCTCACCTTTGCTAGCTCTTGTGGTCCGATGAACTGATGAGGTGAGTCCAGGGGCATCCCGGCCAAATCGGGTCTCTGTACGAAATATTAAAATGGCTCTAGTAGCCTAGTAAATTTTTTATAGTAAAATTAAAAATGGGCATGGCGATTAGCCGATCATCAGCGATAAAATAGAAGCGAAGGCCGGAGGGAACTAGGGAGAGGAGACGAAGCGGCTGCGGCATCGGGACTTCGGCGATACGCGACGACGCAGACGCCTGGACGGGAGTACGATGGAAGATGAATCGATTCACCTTCTGCAACGTTTTGTACCTTGTGTTTGCTACTATTTGGACTATAAATTAACTAAACTAAAGCCTCTAATATTATTATATATAGGATATACTTAATATTTTAGGGGTCTTAAAATTTGGGGGCCCTGTTCGGTCGCATGTGCTGCACGGGCCCCCGGGACGCCCCTAGGTGAGTCCACTCATCGGAGACAAGATGCAGGCGACTTTCAGGGGAAAAACTCGTACGTGCCTCTTCCAGATAACCCTTTTTTCTACGTACCGTCTCGATCCGACGGTGAGACAGGTTTAATTAGCTCCTTTTGCGTTTTGTTTGTGTTAACTTGACCTGACAAGTCACCTAGAGTCAAAAAACCGAGCAGTGCGCAGCTGGTGACCGATGAAGGGCCCGGTCGAACCAAGTCACACACGGCTACTTAAACGATAAAATCATTAACACTTACACTTGATTAATTAAGTTTTAATCATTTTAAATAAAAAATGGGTTTATATGATATCTTAAAGTAACATCCATAAAGAAAAATTTCACATTATATGCTGCATTTTCTTTTAGAATTAGAAACTCCCTCTAAACAATCTATTTTTTTTCAGATTCTGAAAAACTGTAGCGGTAAAATCCAAGAAATGATAAAGCCAGAAGCTAGAAAATAAGCTTTTATAGATTCTCGGAAACTAACTACCAACCAGCTGCTTCTCAGAATTTTAAGCACTCTAAAATATATTGAACCAAAATATCGTGTCGACCACCAGGCAAGCACACCAGACACCACACCGAGCCCGCCACGTCCACCCCCCGTGGCCCGTGCGGCCGTGCCCCGCTCGCGCGCGTCTTTTGCCCTTTTTGAATAGGTCATCCCTCCCCCACCCGCGCCCGAGCCCGCTATAAAGCAAAGCTAACAAGCGCGCGCGCGCGCACTCCAAGCAGTCCACGAGCACCACCACCGGTTTCACTGCTCGATCGCAACAGCATCGCCACAAGTCCGCAATAAACCACCACACACCACGTACCGGGGTGGCCACTAGTCTCAGGCGGCTCTCAAGCTCTCAAGCTACTCGCTGCCTACCAGTATGGGGAACGCCGCGCCGCGCGTGCGGCGCCGCGACGAGCCCGCGGCGAAGAGTTGGTCCAAGGGCGCGGAGGCTGCCGGCGAGCTGCTGCCGGTGGCCAAGGCCGCGGGCGGCGAGGAGAAGGCGGCGGCCGAGCGCGCGGTCGTGACGGTGAAGGTGGTGATGACGAGGAAGGAGGCGGAGAGGCTCGCCGCGCGGCTGAGGGAGCAGAGGGCGAGGAGGCGGAACGCCAGGATGGCGGAGCTGAAGAACGCGCTCCGGGCGGGGGACGGCGCCATCCGCGGCGCCGCCGCGGCGAGGCCTGGTCCGCGCGGCCGGGCGCAGAGCCTGGCGCCGATCCAGGAGAGGTAGCTATGCATACTGCCATGTCTGAGCTTGCACCTTCTGCAAGCTTTGATCATGGAGGAGGAGAAGATTAGTTAATACTTTGTACCGTGACGTCGTAATTGTGGTTTTGTAGCGATATACGTACGATTTTGCCTGGTCACCCGGCCATTGATCTGCTGTACATATACGTAGTGGAGAAGTGGTGGCGACGTATATGTATATAGTTCGTGACCTCGTGTTACGATCGAGTAATGTATATCCTACTTTCTTTTTTGTTAATAAACACAAAAGTTTGCATCACTACTATACTGTCGATCGAAGCAATCTGATTGAATATATCCCAGTCAGAATGAGCGTCACGTCATCACGGGCCCCCCACTTCTCCCTTTTCTTGCATAAACAAACACGAGGCAAGTATCGCGCCCTCGAACCGGACTAGAAACAGGAAACATAACTGTCACACGCAGGTACACCCCCAGAGGCTAAAGTGCTAAACACCAAGGCACACCAAGACAAAAAACCGAAGCTCATCGGCGGCCAAACAACCAGTACAAGCAAGCAAACGTGGCACACAGGCACACACGATCACACATCAAGCTAATTGTTGCTGCGCGGCTGCGCCCAAAAAAACAAACGATTAGTAGAAGCTTCACCGCAACGCTGAAAATCGCGACAGGATCACGAGATCGCATCGTCCACAGGCTCGCGCCGCCGTTTCACCGACACGGGAGTGGTAAACCGAACCCGACCACAGGCTCGCGCCCGGCGTTTCGACACTGTCACTCTCGCGTAGGGATGTAAATGGCTAACTCGCGAATCGACTTTAAATATCAAAATAAACAGGTTCACGATTTATTTTAGTTTATAAATAGATTTAGCGGGTTAATCACTTGTTAGCCAGATGAGTCCCCCGGCCGGAGATGCATCGGAATTCTGCGGATATTTTCCAACCGGTGTAAAGCGCACGCACGGCGGCCTTTGATCGATCATGCGACTGGCTAGGTCGATCGGATTTTGCAGTTGTAGAGGCTTCGGAGTTTTGGGGAGTTTGGAGTGGCATCCGTTTTGGCGTGGAAAACGAAGGACAGCTGGGGACAACGAGAGCGACGGCGACGAGTGTACGTGGTGCTTTGCCCACTTGAAAACAGCAGTTAAAACTTTGGCATCCGGAGTTCTTATCTCCCTCCCTCTGAAGCCGCCGCTATCAAGGGCGTCGCAATTACCGACTTGTTCAAAGTTTATCGTGAGCTAATTAAAGAAGGCAACGTGAACCTTATCCAGGACCGTTTCTTCATCAAGATGTGGTGAAGAGACGAAGCGCGCGGAGGGAGAGTGAGTGGCACGGCCAGGGGACGGGTCGTCGATGCAATTATCCACAGCGCAAACAGTGCTTCAAGTATTCAACCTGTGTGGTGCTGCAGGATTTTCCATTCCACTTGTTTGGTCTCGGTACAAAGTTCTGGATAGTCTTGCGAGTTGCGACCGCACAGCGGTCTCGTACAAGTCACCGGAAAGTGAAAATTGACTGAAACGACAAATCACAATTAGATAAAGACCCGTTCTTTTCTGATATACAGATTTTACCGCTTTTTATTAGCATGCTTTTCATACCGATAAATGATGTATTTTGTGTGAAAGCTTTCTACATAAAAATTACTCTAAAATATTTTTCTGCTAATGTATTTCTTGTTTTTCTCTCTAACTTTATGTACAGGGGAAAAACATCATCAAAATGCATTTGACGGTTGATGATGTCTTCTTAAGGGTTAGCGTGACAGAGCTGGCAGGATGGAAGTGCGCCAGAGAAGCTACAACATTTTAGAAGGAAGATCATCTACAAGCTGAAGCTGGAGAACGCCTTCACACCTGACAAACTTGCAGAGGCAGGGCTTCTTTGCTTCCTGTAGGGTTGTATTGGAGGTGAAGCACAGATGCGATGAACCGATTAAACTCAAACCACCAATGACGAAGTGGCGATTTGATGGTTCTTGAGGTTCGTCACATCTGTTTCCACCTTCAATACATTCTCCATGGGCAACAGCAAGGTGTGTGGCCGTGTGGGTTTCGTGGATCCTCCAGTTCGTTTGCCCATAATGGGCAGAGAAAACGACCAAGATAAAGAGAGCAGATTCCTGACATGAATCAGTGCAGAATCCAACTTCACCCTGCTGCCAAATCGGAGCTTACAGAAACATATGAACACTTGATTTGTATTGTTTAGCAGCTTAAACCATATTGAAATCTTATGCTCCACTGTAAAAGGATTACAGCTAGAAATTCTAAACTGTGGAAGGGCATGTAGTCTAGTGGTTGCAGTGACCTGAGTTGCACCACAAGATGCTGAGTTCAAATCTCTATAAGAGCGAATTTTAGATTGAGTTATTTGAGGGCTAAGTTCCTAATTTAAAATGGCTGCATATATACGGTTGGATATAGAGACCAGGTAAAAAAAATACACTTCTCTAAGTAAAAAAGGTAGAAATTATGAACTACACCAACAGGTCAATTAATTTCAACAGCGGTTTTTTATCTTTTAATAATTGAGTTAATTTAAGTTAGCAGTGCCAGGAGTGATGAGAAGTGAAAGGGCATGTAGCCTAGAGGTTACAATAACTTAAGTAACGCCCTAAGTCTTAAGTTCAAATCTACATAGGAGCAATTTTAAGAAGGCTAAGTTCTCTGTACATAGAGGAATGACAAGAAACCGTAACTTCGATAGGTGAAATTACATACTAAGCGCTCGAAGAGGGTGTGCACACTATTCAGTAACAGCGAAGTTCTAGTAGACATTACAACATGTGCATACTGGCACGTCATAGCTCATTAATTTTCAGCGTCAAGACAAAAGTTTATCATCACATTACAACAATTTCAAATTATAAAAGAACATCACATATAGATTTGCATTTCGTCATTTTAGCTGTTATATGCACTAGTTCTCACTTTCCCCCACCACTGGGCTTTGCGAACAGCTTCTTTGGTAGCTTCTCCAGAGGTGTTGTTTTCAGAAGGAAAAGCCTGGCAGCACGCTCTTGTAAGGTGCCACCACATTTTAGTCCACGATTCTGCAACTCTAGCTTGAGTCTCTCCATGCCAAGTACCTAAAAGACATAAAAAATGTTTGATTACGGAGATACATGAAACAAATCTAACAAATTGACAGTTCACAGAACAAGATTCCACTCAAGCAAGTTCAAAACCATCGTAGGCACACCATTGGCACCACAGGGAAAAAAATAATTGAACAAAAACTCAAGGATAGAAAACCATCTCTCTTGTCATGCACGCATCGTACAGTACAGGAAAAAAATGGATTCATCATCAGCTTAGTAGGATTTAGGCAAAATGAGTTACACATCAGGGGTTGTTATGTCAATTCTACATACAGTGTGTGCAGGGAAATAACAACGTAGTAATATGATTTGTCATAGCGAGGAAAAATGGTTATTCTATATCTCAGCAAATAACTGTGCCTAATTAACTTTTACACCTAGTGGTAATTCATCAAAGTTTGCATGTGATCACATACATTGCTTCATGTAAAAACATGCTGCATAATATAAACTGAACTATATAGAAATAATGAACTCAAGAATGATACTTAGATAGGCTGAAAAGTCACTTGTTGTCTAATTCCCCTTTTTTGTGTTGTCAACATGATAGTGTGGGTCTTTCATTCTGCATGCTGGTTGTCAACTACTCTGCTATATTACCACCAATTGGGCATAGCAGCTAAATATCAATTTCCCAACTTCTTAACCAAGAGCAGGGAAACTCAACCTCCAACCAAATTTGTTGTTAGTTTTGGACAAAAAAAATAAAGGAACTAAAACAAAATAACATATGCACTATGATGACAACACATCTACTCTAGCAGGTCCAATATTTGGTGCACAATCATGTTAAGCTTACCTCCAATTCTGCAGCTGAACTGTAAATTGTCAGGTCCAGTGGTTCCTGTGAAAGAGGAGATATATTTCCATTGGCAGGTTCTTCTACTGGAGGCGCCTCTAGGTCATTAAGATGTGATGTGGCTGAAGCAGAAGCAGTGTTATCCTCTGCTTTTACATCTGGTTTCAACACTTCTTCTGAAAGAGCACTAACACCATTCTCAGGTGTGTGCTCATCCACCACTCCAATCTCATGCTCCACCACACCATCTGATATAAAATCACCGCATTCACCTTCTGACCTAATTGTAGGTTCCCTGGACTCCTGAACACCGTTTCCATTCTCCTCTGATTCAGAGCGTCCAGACTTCTCACCTGAGGTCTCTCCTTCTGAAGGTGATTCAGTAATTGAACCCAGATCAACCTTCTCGTCCTCACTTTTGGATCCATGCGAGGAATTCCCATCATCAAGAATTATGGATTTTGTATCTGCACCCTCATCATCATCCATTTCACTGTCACTATCGCTATCACTCTCATCCTCTTGTACCTTCTTCTTGCCCAGCCTACAAAAATGAATTAAATCAGGGACTTCACAACACAAATGGAATAATATGTTGGCCACTCTTCAGATGGTTGATAACTTTTGCTACACAAAGTCTGCATACCATGCTTGATTAATTTAAGCGCAAGACGGCAGCATAACAAAGACAAATTTCCTTCTAACAAATCACACACTTACATAAACTAGCTAGATCTCATTATAGCTGTGTATGTTCCAGCAAAATCAAGCATACAACAGCTCCGAGCAAGCACAAATTTCAACTCGGCATCTGGAGTTCTGTACAAAACTTTTAACCGACTAAGCTAATTGATCGGATCATTCAAGAAGATGGAAGCTCCTTATTTATTCCAATGGACTACAATTGAACCTACTTGCTTCTAATTTATTCCAATGGATTGCAATTGAACTGACTCGCAGCAAATTAACCAATTTTTTTCATAAACATACAACAAAATAGAGTAAAGACCACAACAGATAAGTCATTCTTGAGGCACTCACCAAATCTTAAGCTTCTTGGCATCTTCCCCACCGCGTGGCTTGGGCACGGTCTTCCTCTTCCCAAGAGAGGCGCGCACAGACTCCTCAACCGCATTAACGCAACTCTCGGCATCCTTGCGGTACTTCTCGAGGTATTTGTCCACCTCGGCCGCCTTCACACCACCGCGACCCGCTTCCTTAGCCTTCTTCTTGATGAAATCCTCCGCGAGCTTCTCGAGCTGGCGATCTGCGGCCTCGGCCTTCCACTCCTCGAGGCGGCGCTCGGCGTTAACGTGGCGCAGGCGGCGGCCGTTGATATCGCGGCAGGCGTCGAAGTTGCTGGTCTTCTTCTGGCCGGCCTTGGAGGCGGCGCCACGGAGGAGCGAGCCAAACCCGCCCTTGCCTCCGCGGAGGCGAAGGAGCGCGGATGCGGAGGGGAATCGGCCGTCGGCGGAGGAGGCGAGGACGGAGGACGGCGAGACGTCGAGGCGGCCGGTGACGAGGCGGAGGGACGCGGCGGGGACGCGGGAGAGCGCCGAGACGGCGTCGAGGAGCGCCGCGCCGGAGACGGTCGTCGTCGAGAAGCGGAGGCAGCGTGTGCGGCCGTCGAGGAGCCGCACCAGGATCTGGTACTGGTTGGCCTCGGCCATGGCGCGCGGTGGCGGTGCTCGAAACCCTAGCCCGCCTCTCGCCGCCGATGTCGCCTCGCAGAATCGGAGAGAAAAGAGGGGGTCAAACTTTCCCAATGACCAAAACATTAATACTATACGGTGTAATTATATTTGTCTTTAATAAAACTTTAAAATGGATTCAGATGTCGCGAATAAAAAAATTATATAAAGTCATGTCACGAATTCGAATGTTCCCTTAGATCATTTTCATTCATTTTTCTTGTCTTATGCACTTAAAACATATTAATTTTTCTATTTGTTATATCTCTGGAGGCAAAGCGACCTTCATTAGCAGAAGCATTTTGATCCATATCTAACATACAAAATATAAACAAACATTAGTTGAAACCAATTCACAATGTTGCGATCTTATATTGAAATTATGGAAATCATATACATCATTTTGATATCTCAATAGCAGCATGAAAACATATACATCATTTTGATTTCTCAATCGCACCATGCTAATTTGGAAAACATAGTGGAATATTGAAAGTAATAAACTCTATGGTTTAAAATTTAGACCATAACTTGTTGATCCTCAAGCATTGATAAACTTCGAGAGCATTGATTGTGTTATGCAGTATACAATAATACATTTGCCCTTCAAGTACACAGCGGATAAGACCGAACAAAAACCCTCAAGGGTGGAAGGACTATTTAGCCAGGTATTGCATCTCTGACAGTTTCTGGAAGTTGAGACTTGAGAAGAATAAAATGTCTCTCACCCACTTTCTTCTCGATTGGTTTGTTTCCTTCTAATGGAGCAAAGCTATATCTTTACTGCAAGAAGCACTTTGCCCTTGTTCTGCACATGTGAAAAAACTAGCTATTCATGCACATTTAGCTATTCATGTGAAAAACAAATTATACGGAATCCAAACTGGGTACATCATGTCAATGACCTATACAACCAACCGTTCAAATCTTACCAAACTCTTTTGTTGAGCAGCAGAGCAATGAAAATACTCCACGAATCACCTATCCAGGATAATCAAAGGAATTCTGCTCATGGCAAAGAAGACAAAAGAGTCTTATACTGAAGCATTATATGTATTGACCCCTCCTAAAACTGTAGCACTTTGGAGATAGCTCAATGTTGTTCATATGTGTTTCTGTTGGTGACCTAATTTAGTTTTAGACTGTCTGAAAATGAAGATCTAATCCTGGTCACTGTTAGGGTATAGAGATGTCTGAAAGCAGATGTTCCATGATATGCAATCTCCTACAATAAAGAAAATGATTTACTCTGTAATATATGAAACCAACTTTTTCTGCTACATCTAGGAGTCTAGCTTGGTTAGATGGAGACTGTAAAAGAGCTCTTCAGTAACAAGCGCTGATCCAATTCATAGTGCAATTATATTCAGACCGTCTTTATAGTGGCATATAACTTTTTTCATCAATAATATCCCAGGCTATGGTCATCCCAGCATGTAAGTATAATGCATACTCGAGTTTAGACAGATTCATAGCACTATGCTGTTAAAAGAGAAACTCTCATGGGTCTCTGTGAAAGATATTGCAGACAGCGTGATCTAGAAAAACGATACGTCTGTATATATATTTTCAGAATTAATTCTTGGCATTTAATACTCAATTGCAGCAGAAAATAGCCAAATGACTGCCCTAACAGTCCACTAATTATTGCATGTGGGTTGAAAACAAAACTGACAAATGAATTGAGGGTCCATATCCAGTCATTAACCGAAACTTACATGCCTTACGGGGGACAAACATGATCATGGTACATTGCTCCACCTTCATGTAGTTGTTATCCATGTTTTCTTCATGCCTATTTTCATCAGATACATCAGATACTGGTTATAATGGGTTGCATGGCTGTTTTTTCCGAGATTACAAGTTGACATTTCCGCCAACAGTGTGCAGAGCTGATCTAACTCAATGGCACTGCAGCACTTCATTAGCACGTACTGCTTGTTAATTTTGTTAATAATACTACAACAATTCAGACTCTTAGAAATGATTATACTGCTTTCTGAGCCTGTATTTTTGTACTGTCTGAAATATGAAGCTCGACTCATGAGAAATGAAATTGGAAACGTGCAGTGCATATTTATGTTGAATCTTGAAAATGTTGGCCTCATGATCAAAGTAAAATAGCAGGGCTACGCCACACACTCCGTGACCATCTAACATAGAAACTCAATCATGCATGATATTCCATCCAGACCAATCTGAATTACATTTGTTGAATCGTCAACCCAATTGAGACCATATGAATCCTTGCAAACAAGCGCATTTATCATCGACCTAATATACTTCAGGTGTCAAAGTTAACCAAATTCCTCAACTCAACTGAGACCACAAAAAATCCTTACACCCAAGTGCATGTATTGTCGATCTAATATACTGCAGTGTGAAGATTAACTAAATCAACACCAGTTCATGTGCATACAGGTACATATAAAAGGTGGATTTTATAATTCGGGCTGTAATGAAAATCGTAGGCACACTTATCAGTTAAGAAAATAGCTCAAATTGTTGCGATAGATTCAAATGATATAATTACATGTCCTTCCCTATCAAATTCTTAGAAAAAATTGTTCCACCTCCATCAATTCACCACTGACCGAAACTTTTGAAAGTGAAGTGTGATAGTGGAATAGTTCTGTTTGACTTTTTTGCGTGGCATAGGCTCAGCATATTTGGTTCTTTTTAAATGGACAACAATTGTCAGGAAAGCATCATTCCCAATCAGCATTATGCTATATAGTCATGCATCTGAAATAAAAGAAAAGAAGACTTCTATGGTACTGATATATGGTATAAACAGGCATGTAATACCTCTAATAACCATTAGAACAAAACAGGCCATGGACACTATAACTGGCAAATAGACCTAGCATATTCCATTCATAACACACAGCAAATAGGAGGACATACATAATAGTTGCTTGAAGTGCTTGAAGATCATATTATTTATTCACAAGGAACATCATGTTCTGAAATTAATATAAATATCAACTTTCCTAAGCTGTTTTTAGAGTAAAGCTCAGAATTTATTTTAACTCTCATTAATTTGCTTTTGAATTTTGCATCTGATTAACAGGATGGAAGAAAATTTGATTTAGACAAATCTAAATGGTTCAGAAATAAATCAATGTAGCAGAAGCAATGGAAAGTACCTGCGGTGAGGTAGGGAGCACACACGCCTCGTGACGTGGAGGTTCTCCGCCGGCCGTGTCGTCTTTGCTTGAGGAGGATAGTCTCTTTTCTGAAAAATACGAGAGTGAGGGGATCGGTGGCGGCACGAGCGGGAGGGATCGGCACATCGGCGGTGCACCTTGAGTCCTTGACGATGGAGGATTGAAGGCGGCAGCGACAACGGCAAGGAGGGATCAGGGCATGCTGCCCACGGAGGTGGAGGAGCGACGCTATTATCTTGATGTAGTAACTGTTTAACATGGATAAAACTTGGTTTATCTTAAAGAAAACAAAAGGATTCCCAAAAAATAGAAGCATATGAAGGTGAAATGCTGAGCATACGTTTGCTATTTTGTAGCTGGGCCAAAAGGAGGAGGAGTCGCAGACAGGCCGCGGCGTCGTGTTGACGGAGGCGCTGGGTGTCGGCGACCCGCCTCCGCAGGTACGGGAGAAACGAACGCGGGCGAAGGTGATGCAGCGCGTGCTCTGCGGGGGGCTCCGGCTGCGCCGCGTCAACCGGCGGCACGAGGTGGGGAGGGAGTGGAGGGGCCCGACAAGGCGATGGATGCCCGCGTCCGTCCCTGCCTGGTCGCCGCAGGGGGGACCTAGGTCGGCAGCGGCGCGGCGGCGGACCTGCGAGGCGGCGCGAGCGCGAGGGAGTGAGCGGCAGGTGGCGATTAGGGTAGGCGATGCGCGAGGGAGAGGTGCGGTGGGGCGTAATTAGGCGGAGAGATTATAGGGAGAGAGATCGCGATTTAGAGGGAGAATCGCGGATGGGAGAAGGTGGGAGCGACGTGAGGCGTTGGATCTGTGAGAGGGCATCCTGACCGATCAACGAGGAATAAGGAATATAACATTGTGTTGGTGAATTATAGGGTAGACTAGTATTATGTTATTATCCCTGACAGGTGGGCTCCACGTGTCAGCGACTGTTTGCTCGTTGCTGTTTGCTCCCGCGACGACGAATCCGTGCCGACCTCGCTTCCCCGCCGGCCGCCATGAAATTGGAGCTTCCGAGAGGAGAAAATCTCGAGAAGTAGAGAGAGAAAACCACAGCGTGAGCGAGCGTGGGCGTCCTTGATTCCGGCGACATGAAGGCCCCCGCCGCGGCCGCGGCCGCGGTCGGCAACAGGGCTGGTGGGGTGGATCCGTCGATTCCGCGGTTCAAGTGCCAGGAGTGCCACCGCGCGCTCGTCGTCGTCGGCGTGGATTCCTTCGCCGATAAGCTCCCGGCTCAGGCCACCTCTGGTACCCTTACGCCCTGTCCGATTCGCTTCCTGTCCCTTCCCTACCTCCGGGGAAAATTGGGCATATGATTGAATTGTTAGGAATTAGTGTAGTTCTCTTTAAGTAAAAACCTAGGTTTGTATTGGGTTATATTAGTTGCCGAATTTCTGATGAAATGAGTAGTTGTTTGTTGGTTCTAGACAAATGGAATCCAATACTGATATCGAAATATATGCATTGTTGAGTTGAATGCATAAGTGCAATTTTGTTCGATTTGATAGTGCGACGGTGAGAACTTTACAGTGCTTACTGAAATTACTGTTGGGATTGCGGATTCCTGTAAAGCTGAAGTTCCTGTTTCTGGTGTAGTGGTGTGTGTTTATGGTTTTTCCTGGCATTACTGATTTGAATTGAAAGTTGGAACTTAAAACTACTGTAGTCTTCGTAATGGTGGCAGCATGGTTTACTTAGTTTACGTGGTATATGCTTCTGTTGCCACTCTTATCTTCCTGTGGACTAGAGGTATTACTCTAGTGTTTATCAGTCTAATGTTTATACCTGCAAGTTTCCACCCAAGATAAATCATAGACCATTTCGTCATATACTCAGATCGAATATTTTTATCATTTATTATGGCTCCACCACTTCTTGCTTCGTTTTCTCTACATGTTTTCTTTTATGTAAACTAATGCATCATTTGTGCCAGAGATTTGTCTTGAAAGTAATTGTTAGCTTTCAGTTTCTTCAAAGTCATTGTTCCTATCTATGCAGCGCATGCATCCTCTGTTCATGGAAGTATTATGGGAGCTAGCAGGATGGATAATTCTTATGTCGTGCTATCCAAGCAAAACAAATCTCATGGCCATGGAATTCCCCCACGCCCACCAAGTGCAGCAGCCCCACATATCGAACCTAACCAGCCAACAAGAGCGATGGAGGGTTCATATATAGTGCTTCCACCTGCTGCTGCTTCCATATACAAGACATCTACTTCTGAAGGAGGTGGTGCGCAGTTGCCACCACCAAGTATCAATTCCAGTAGTTTGTTACCAGGAAATAGTTTTCACTCTAACGTGACTGTATTAAAACGGGCATTTGAGATTGCTACGTCACAAACTCAGGTACAATGCTTGCTTAATCTGTCTCTATATTATTGAATGTCTGGGCTCGCATGCATTTGCAATTTCTGCAATTTACTTGCTGCTGCAATTATTGCATCGTAATTCTCTCTTTTTTTGTGTGTGTTGTATGTGGGAAGTACATTTATTTGCGTGACTTGATGGCTCATTGTTAAATGTTATATGCTGATAATGATGTAAATCTGCAATGTACTTGCAGGTTGAGCAGCCAATGTGTCTGGACTGTATGAGGTTGCTCTCTGATAAGATGGATAAGGAGATTGAAGATGTTAATGCTGACATTAAAGCTTATGAAGTCTGTCTTCAACATTTGGAGCAGGAATCCCACACTGTCCTCAGCGATGCTGGTTTTCAGAAGGAGAAACTGAAGGTGACAATCTCTTTTACATATGTATGATCAGCTGGTGATTAACGATATTAGAAATGCAGGAGAGCGTGCTGCTTGGGACAATATAAGAGAAGACAGAAGATTTAGTTTCTTCTGTATACCAATCATGTACAATGTAGTTTAAATGAAAATTAATTCCTCTTCAACCTCCATCAAAGAGGATGCATGTCGGTTTAGAAGGACATTAAAAGTGTAGTCTTGAAGAAGTTGCCCAATAGTTCTGTAAAAAACCTTGCTTGCATGATAAAAAAAATAGACTCAACAATAGTTTATTTTGAACTGATCGATGGCCATTATTTTCTTGGAACTAAACGACTTTGTGTTTGTGCCATTGATTTCAGATTGAAGAAGAAGAAAAGAAGCTTAACGCCGCTATTGAAGAAGCTGAAAAGCAATATTCAGAAATTAGTTCTGAGATGAAGGATCTTGAAATAAAATCTAAAGAATTTGAAGAATTGGAAGAAAGGTCAGTTACCTTTCCATTATGTTCTTGTTATTACCTCAGAAGTTTGTCTACAGGGGTCAGGATGCAGAGTCTCAGATTATTTTTAATTCAATTTTGCGTGTGAGTCCTGATCGTGCTTTTTTTTTTCTTTATGATGAATTCTGGCCTAGAATACTGTATGAATATATCAGTGTTACATTAAAAAATATTAGTATATTTTGCTCTTGAAACTAAAACAGCTCGTTTCTATTCAAAAGATAACACTGCCACAAACACAGTATTATCGTATTGCTACAACAATTATCCGGTGGTTTGTGCAATCCGTAACTACTATGTTGGCTATGTTATTCGCAGAGTTCCTGTTACTTGTCAAACAAAGCTGATGTATTATATTTTTGAAACAGGTATTGGCATGAATTCAATAGCTTTCAGTTTCAGTTGACATCTCACCAGGTATATGCCTACTGCAGGCCCTATAAATATCTACTCCCTCTGTCCCAAAATATATAAGCATTTTTAGAATAGTGCCAAGTCAAACATTTTAAATTTTGACTATTGATAGCAAAATAATAAAAAAAGATCAATCGTGTAAAATTGGTGTTTCTAGATTTATCATTAAACAAACTATCATAATATGCAACTCTTTTTATTTAAAACATATTACTTTTATAGATATTGTTGGTCAAAGTAGCATCTTGAAGACCGTGTCAAAGTCCAAAAATGCTTATATTTTGGGACGGATGGAGTACTTATAGAATAGCATATTAGCAATTCATTATTTTATCAACATCTTTTTTGGTATCTACTCAAGAGTGTACAGACAAGCAGGACGTGCATTCTGTCCCAGATCTGTCATATAGCTCACGCAGTATAAACCAAGTCTATGCCTTTATGGCTCTATGGTTGATTTTGTGATCCCGTATTCTGTTGGCAAAACATAAATCGCTTTTAGAAAGTTTTATTGTTTATGCCTTATGCATACTATCTGCATTATCGTGCTTTACACTGCCTTCTTGTTTGAAAATACTATCTTTAGTTTTGGTTCCTTATCTATGTGTATGCTTTCTGATGGCTAAGCTGTATGCCAACTTTTATCTTTGATACTTAGAAATCGTTGACTAAATTTTTCGCTTCACTATTCAGGAAGAAAGAGATGCAATTTTGGCCAAAATAGAAGTTTCACAGGTTCATTTGGAATTGCTGAAGCAAACAAATGTTCTCAATGATGCATTCTATATTTCACATGATGGAGTAATTGGAACAATAAACAACTTCCGACTCGGACGCCTTCCTAATGTACAGGTAATTATGCAAAATTTACAGATATACCACATCTCATGTTTGATCCTTTGTTAATAAATCTGATACCCTTTTCTTAGGTTGAATGGGATGAGATAAATGCTGCTTGGGGTCAGGCTGCTCTTCTTTTGCATACCATGGCTCAGTACTTCACCCCAAAATTTGAGTATCCTTGACATATTGATGACTATTTATTTTACTACAATTAATCCATTGGTCATTCTTTTGAGAAGGAATTCCCATTGATCTTCCCTTCATCAACTAGTTACACTTATGCCACATGTTTCAATGCATTTTAGTAGTTACTCCATGTAGTTATCCTTTGTCCTTTTTATACGGAAACTTTATCAATGAGGCTTAACCTTTGTACTAGGAAGTGTGTTATGAAACTTTGGTTTATGAGACTGTTCATGAGAAAGATCTGGCACAGATGTATAAGTCCAAACTAGGAAGAACAAAAGGTGTTATAGCAATTTGGAAAGATAGTGGATGCACATCAACCCCTCTTATATTGTATTTCATGATAGGTGTTGCTTAAGTTTTTCAGAAGTTCTTCTTATCTCTCATCAGTGATGTTTCACAAGTGCATATTCAGGCTAAATGGAAATTTAAACTTAATTGAAGGTGTTCATATAAACGATGACTTCTCTTTGGAGTTCCTGAACTTTTTTCTAGGTACCGGATTAAGATTCACCCTATGGGTAGCTACCCAAGAGTCACAGATATCCACAAAAATACATATGAACTGTACGTTTCCCCCTGGCTAATTAGTATTCCTGTTTTTCTTTTTCTAAAATGAACTTCCAGAAGATTTGTAATGTAGCTTTTCTAAGGTTCATAATATGTTTATCTGATCATTGGTATTGACTATAATTTACAAGAACATTTTGTAGTAGTAGTAGTAGTAGTAGTAGTAGTAGTAGTAGTAGTAGTAGTAGTAAGAGGAGGAAGGGGTTGTGCACTTTCTATATTTGCCCTATTTACTGACAGTTTGCTCTGGGTGTGCATTTTTCATATTTGTTGTCCCTTTGTTGAGCACTGCAGTTATATCATGCTAACCAGGTTTGGTCCCGTGAATTTATTCTGGAGCACACGTTTTGACAAAGCCATGACATGGTTTCTAACCTGCCTGCAAGATTTTGCTGAGTTCGCTATTAGCTTGGATAAAGAGAACAATGTACCACCTGAGAAGTCATTAAAGCTCCCATACAAGTAAGATATATTTCAACTTTATGGTACTGTGTTACTTTTGAAATTGAGTACATTTTATTATATGAATTGCATGGTTCATGCTTACAAGTTACAACACTTCTTCTATACTATTGTACTTAGAATAAAATGTGCTCATCAGTCATCATTGAGGATACTTAAGATGGGGAAGGATTGTGATTGCAATGTTCTCTTTCCTTCATATGATAATTTTACTTATATAAGCAAGAGCATTCCTACGTTATGCAAGCATTTTCACCTGTGCTACTGCTAATTTAAATTACTACTCTGTTTCGCAGGATTGATGGTGACAAGGTAGGGAGCCACACAATCTTCTTAAGTTTTAATAAAGTGGAGAACTGGACGAAAGCACTAAAATACACGCTGTGCAACTTGAAGTGGGTCCTCTACTGGTTTATCGGCAATACGAGTTTCGCACCACCATCTGGATCTTTGTGTGCAGCGCAATCATCTAAGAGATGATGATGTCACTGACCTATTAAGGTGGTGTTTGGATCCAGGGACTTAACTTTAGTCCCTATATTTAGACACTAATTTAGAGTATTAGATATAGACTACTTACAAAACTAATTACATAAATGAAAGCTAATTCGCGAGACAAATTTTTAAGCCTAATTAATCCATAATTAGAGAATGTTTACTGTAGCATCACATAGGCTAATTATGGATTAATTAGACTCAATAGATTCGTCTCGCGAATTAGTCTAAGATTATGAATGGGTTTTATTAATAGTCTACGTTTAATATTTGTAATTAGTGTCCAAACATCCAATGTGATAAGGACTTGAAAGTTTTAGTCCCATCTAAACATGGTCTAAACTGATTGTAGCCGCACATTGAACAGATAGTAGCATTGACGTGACATATTCAAAGATGAATAGTTTATACAACTAACTCTTCGCTTCTTTTAAGTGGTCACTGTATACTTGTCCCTTGTATGTATAGTCTCCTTTGGCATCTAATCAGGTCTGCAGTCAAATTGGAATGTCGATAAAATACTGTAGTGCCGTGGTCTTCTCTTTTCCGAAAAAAAGATGGACAAGTGTTTGTACTGACTTCCTCAATGCCCTCCCTTTCACAAACTTCTTTGCTTCCCGTATTTGATATGATTTCTTTACATGTTTTAATGCGTAAGTGCATAAGCAAAGTGCTTACATCTTATCGAATTTCATGTGCGGTAACGTTTACATCAAGACCACAAGCAATGTATGGTACTATGGTTACCCGTACCTCCCGTGCAGCCAATGCTACGTACAAAACCATTTCCTTCTAACTAACTTCGACGCCACCATTAATATCACCCGTAGTTCCAACAGCGACACACAACACACATCGAAATATTGAAGAATAAGTTCGCATGAAGATGAATAGGAAACCACCGATGTCACGGACCCTGCATGCTGGAACTATCCAAAAGAACATGAATTCAAAAAAAAGCGGGATACTGTCTCTTAGGGTGAGTTTGAGAGATAGGGGATTGAGAAGATTGGGAAGATACGCAAAACGAGGTGAGTCATTAGCGCATGATTAATTGAGTATAAACTATTTTAAATTTCAAAAATGGATTAATATGATTTTTTAAAGCAACTTTTCTATATTTTTTTTTGTAAAAAACGCACCGTTTAGTAGTTTGGGAAGCGTGCGCGTGGAAAACAAGGTGTTTTCTCACCCTATCTCACACAAACGAACGCAGCCTTAATCGGCTATTCAAAAAACGTGAATCCATAGTGGAATATCTCTGAATCGGCTACAGAAAAAACAAGTCATGCCACTTTTTAGGAACGGAATTTCAACACCAGCTAATCTGTTTGAAATCGGAGTGTGTTCCAATTTCAATGATAGTCCTAGTGAAGAAAATAAAGGAGGGCAAAATCTAGACCCTAGAGCATGGGTAGCAATACAACAACATGGCTACATAACAAGAATAATAGAAATATTAACTATTAAATAAATAATAGTGAGCATTATATAATTTATAAAATCGATGCATATATAAGTGAAATAACATAGTTTTTGAAACGATGGGATACAACATGTTCAATAAATGTGTTGTCTTCTGATGACTTGATCTGTACTTTGGAAACCTTCAAAACGACGACAACTACACGATTAAACAAAACAAGGCCAAAGCACTAAGCAAAAGACCCAAACAGTACATAAAAAGCACATAAATAAATTCTTCATGATTTAACAAGAAATTATTGACTCAAACGGATCAATTTATAGTATGTATGGCCGAGAAGTAACCATCTGAATTTAAATTCAGTTAGTACTCTCGTAGAAGAAAACGACTCTTACAACTTATCCCATATGTTTTTTCCTTCCTTATACAATTTTTAATATTTGCACTACTCTTTTTACTCATGGCACTCTAAATTCCGGCTCGTTAAAAAAAAGCCTGAATTGATGACCTCTGAAGAATACGGTTGCTTTCCAGTGTAGAAACACAGTTCCACGATTCAGTTAACCATCACTGAACTGGTGAAGCAACAGATGGTACTCGTAGGTTAATTTGGACTCCTCGATTTAAAAAGCCAACTACTAATTAAATCTGGCAATCCGCTTCTCCTGTGTGCTGCTGTTAATTTCCCGGTGGCCGGTCTGGTCCCGTTTGGATGGCTCTCGCGGTCTCGCCTCTCTCGACCGGTCCAGCATTTGCTGCTTGGTCGCAACTCCCCACCCGCTCGCACGCCGCGACCGTTGAAATTGGAATCCTTCCTGCGCGAGGGGAAAAGTGTGGCATGAACAGAGAAAAGAAAAAAAAACAACAACTCACTTTCGATGCAGGACTCGTACGCAGTCCATCGCGACGTGCTGTGCCGTATGTCCCCGCGCACACGCCGATCTCCCCTCCTAATTAGCACTGCACATGATTTGCTATCTCGATAAATATTTTGGAGTAAATTACACTAGCGGTCCTTAAACTTAAACTTGTAACAAACTTTCACTTAGATCCACGAACTTGCAAAACACGCATCAAGATCCTTAAACTTAGTTTAATGTATTATTACGGTCCAAACCCTGGTTTAACCATGGTCTTGCTTATGTGGTATGTCACGTGGACGATGACATGGCAAAATTTTCTTTTTCCCTTTCTTTCTTCCCATCTTTTCTCTCCTTCCTCACCTCGCGTGGAGAAAAATGCAGCAAAAGAGGGAGGAAGGAGGCAAAGTGGAGAAAAAAAAGAGATAAGAAGGGAGAAAAAAATAAAAAAATTTCATGTCATCGTCTATGGAGCATGCCACATAGGCAAAACCACGATCAAACAAGGCTTTGGACCGGGATGATACATTAAACCAAGTTTAAGGATCTTGATACGCGTTTTGCAAGTTCGTGGACCTAAGTGAAACTTCGTTACAAGTTTAAGGACCACTGGTGTAATTTACTCAATATTCTTGTAATCCACAATAAATAAAAGAAAAATAGATATGCCAACACAGCTATACAAGCAGATATGACCCCGTTCGTAACCGATTATGTGGATTGTATCTAATTGTTTAAGATCAATAAAACTCTCTTTATCTAAAAAATGTGGACTGTATCTCGATTTCTGTTTTTTAAATTGCAAAATGATACATTTTGTGTGAAAACTTTTCTAATATATCACATAAATGCATTTTTAAGTTTGTAATATCTAAAACTTAATTAGTTATATGCTAATGTCTTTCTTGTTTTTCATACACTAACTTCATCTTCGATACTTTCTCCGTTTCGTATTATAAGTCCGTTTGATCTTTTTTCAGGTCAACCTTCTTTTGACCAAGTTCAAAAAACACTTAACAACATTTACAACATTAAATTTTATTAATATAATATTGAATATATTTTGATAATATGTTTGCTTCATGTTAAAAATGATGCTATATTTTTATATAAATTTTATCAAACTTATAAATACTTTTTTTCATCCCATAATATAAGACATTCACGTATTTTGATATTCAACTTACGAAAACATTTGACAAAAATAGTATAATATAAATTAAATTTTATTTGTTGAAAATAATATCATTGGATTGCTATTTGAATTTACTTTTCATATGGTTATAATTTTATTGATATAAATAGTATATAAGAAATTATAAATTAAAAATTAGTTTTAAAAACTATGTCAACTTTGATTAAAAACTATGTCAACTATCCATTTAGATATTAATGAATCTAGACATGTATATATGTGTTTAGATTCATTAACATCTATATGTATGTGGGCAATACTAGAAAGTTTTACATTGTAAAATATGGAGTACTTGTAATATACGGAGTACCGATGAAACGGAGAGAGAAACGAACACCACCATACAGTAATAAAAAAAATACATAGGCTTAAATAGAATAATAATAATAATGCAACCGGCAACCACCCGCAACCGCAACGCGAGCGCTGGGTTTTAAACGCGAGAGGCCCCGAGCCGTGGCAGCGCGCAGCTCTCGTCCCCTCGTGCCGTGGCGACTGAGATCTCTCTCGTCTCTCCTCTCTCGTCTCGTGTATAAATTTCCTTCGCCTTAGTTTCGCATCTGCTATCTGCTTCTTCTTCTTCTTCCTCTGCTGCTGCCGCGTTGCGTACGGTCGTGGGAGGAAACAGGGAGAGGGAGATGGCGGCCTCGACGATGAAGCACCTCGTGCAGGTCGGGGAGGCGCGGGAGGCGGCGGAGGAGGACGGAGGGGCGCCCTCGGCCGGGCCGGCGTACCGCTGCGCCTACGGCGGGGGCGCCGCCTCGCCGCCCGCCGTGCCGGGGCTCGAGTGCTGCTGGGACATATTCCGGTACGTCGTTGCCGGATCTGTTCGTTTCGTTCAATCTGGGCCGAACCGCCGGTTGCGGAGGTTTCTCGCCCCCAATTTCTGAGCCAAACCGGCCGCGATTAGGGGGAAATCCGCCCTATTGATTGTTGATTCCCCTCCTGACATTGCTCTCTCTGTGCGTGTGGCGCGTGCCATTGCAGGATGACGGTGGAGAGGTGCCCGGACAACAAGATGTTGGGCCGCCGAGAAATCGTCGACGGCAAGGTACGTTCACCGCCGCGTGTGTCTCTGTTTTTGTTGTTTTTTGTTTCGTTTTTGTTTTTTCTGGTGGGATTGATCGGTTGATGGCGTCTCCGTCTTGGGCTGATTCCGCCGTGGTTCAGGCTGGCAAGTACACGTGGATAACTTACAAGGAAGCGTACGACACCGTGATCAAGGTGGGCGCGTCCATCCGGAGCCTTGGAGTCGGCAAGGTACGCAATTCATGTTTGTTCATGCTTGCTCTGTGATCTGGGGGAGTCGTGAATGGCTAAGAAAGTTGTGTATGTGCTAATCGGTTGCTGATTTGGTCTGCAGGGTGGACGCTGTGGTATTTACGGAGCCAACTGCCCTGAGTGGGTTATCAGTATGCAGGTATGATGATAGTAAACGATCGCTATGTGGTTTGATGTACACGACGCACATTGGAAACGATTTCACACTGCGGATCACATCGCGTTGTTTGTTGTAGACTATGTTGCCAGGTGTTTAAACCAAATTGTGCAACCTCAACCTTAATTGTCCCAAACAACTCTTTTAGCTACAAGTCCTACACGGTTTTCCCTCTCCTGGCAGAAGAAACAGTGTAATTTCTCAGTACAGGAGTTTTTGTTTTGTCAATTGCATTGGTCACCTGAAGAATAAAACGTGTTTTTTTTTAGATTTCTCTGAGACGTGAATCTCCTATAATTGTACTGCGCTGCATTAAAATTAGTGCCACACTTGCATCTTTTGTTTAATATGTCACAATATTATTTGCAATGCTATCACTGCTCCCTTTTACTTATGTTTTTCTTTGCTTAATACTGCAGGCCTGCAATGCCCATGGCATATACTGTGTTCCGTTGTATGACACGCTAGGTAAGTTGCTGGTTTCATTGAGAACCAGGAACACATGAAATTGTATCTGGAACTTTTTTTTTGGAAAGCAATTATCAGTATCACAACACATAAACGTGCATTTGAATGGTAGATGCTTGTTTAACAATGCTCCCTGACATCTTGCATCATTTTCTGTGGTTGTAGGTGCTGGGGCTGTAGAATTTATACTGTGCCATGCTGAGGTAGAAATTGCTTTTATAGAGGAAAAGAAGATAGGAGAGGTAAATTCCTTCACTGGAACACTTAATGGCTTAACTGCAAAGTTACCCATACTAATGTTTTAATGCTATTTGCTAGTATGTGTCTACATAATTCAGAATGTCTTATAAATCTGTAAGTTACTAACTATGAGATGTTGTCCGCTATATAATATCTTGTATTTTTTTTTTGAAAAGAGAATATCCTGTAATATTATATTCCATTGAATTTCACTGTACTATTCTAAAATCATCATATTGCATTTCCAATGGTAGTTTTCCTACTCGCACATAGGAGTAAGGAGGAAGGCATGAAAACGTGTTGGTTTCATATATTTATTGTAAAATGGTATTTGCCGTGCTTTTATACTATGGACAATCTTCTTTGTGATCTGAGAAGCTCTGATCTTTTCAGGTGCTCAAGACATTTCCAAATGCAACAAAGTATTTGAAGAGTAAGTTGGATTTTCTTTTCCCTTTGTTACAGGGCTACAATGTTTTTTATGCTTTACTGATATGATATTATTTTGTTTTAAAGCAATTGTGAGCTTTGGAAAGGTCAATCCTGAACAAAAGGAAAAGGTTGAACAAAACGGAGTGTCCATCTACTCGTGGGAAGAGTTTTTGCAGTTGGTAAGGTTCTTGTTTATTGATCTAGCTCGCAGCAGAAATGTGTTTTGATATAGCAAACATAATAATTTTTGAAGAAAAACATATAGCATCATACTACTGAGTAATGACAAATCTGTTGTTTCAATTAAAAAATAAGCAATCTGTTGAATGTACTATGACCTGTTTCTGTTTCAACTCTACAAAATAATTTTATGGACATCAGAGCAATGTGACTTTATATTCATCTGGTATTAAGATAATTATCTGTTTTACCTGCAGGGAGGTGAAGAAAAGTATGAACTTCCTACAAAGCAAAAGGATGATATCTGTACAATAATGTACACCAGTGGAACAACTGGTGACCCTAAGGGAGTTTTAATCTCCAACAGGAGCATTATTACTATTATTTCAGCAGTAGATGGGTTCCTTGCAAACTCAAAAGAGCAGGCAAGGCATTTAACATTTTATTTCAGTTTAATTATATTGCTATGTTTGTTCATCATTCTTCTAAATTTTATTCCACTGTAACAGCTTCGTGAAGATGATGTTTACATTTCTTATCTTCCTCTTGCCCATATCTTTGACCGTGTACTTGAGGAAGTGTTCATTCACCATGGTGCATCAATTGGATTTTGGCGTGGAGTAAGAATGAAAAACTCACTGTTTAATACTTGTTACTTTATTGTTTGAGAAATGCTTGTTATTATTTTCTGAAAATCACTTGACATTTTATTTCATGTAAAAGTAGCATGTTTGACAAGTGTATGTTTTGTCTCAGGATGTCAAACTCTTGGTTGAAGACATTGGAGAACTCAAGCCAACAATTTTCTGCGCTGTTCCACGTGTACTAGACAGAATTTATGGAGGTACTGCATTTGAAATAATAAATTTTAACCTCGCAGCCATAGATATGTAGTGATAATGTACATTAATGCAATTCAGCCATTCAGGTAGATATTAATGCACAATTGCTTCTATGATTCAGGACTGCAAGATAAAGTTTCGACTGGTGGTTTCCTGAAGAAGACACTGTTTAATGTTGCTTACAAATAGTAAGATTTTTCAGGTGTCCCTGATCCATCACATCATGCTTATTTATGCTAACATTGTCATCAAACTCTAATATGCTACTCTAAATGATTATGCAGCAAACAAGGGAATATGGTGAAAGGAAGCAAGCATGAAGAAGCTGCTGCCATGTTCGATAAACTAGTCTTCACCAAGGTAAACTTGATTGCTAAAAGTTTTCAATTGTTACCAAATTACATTATCCTTTTAGACATATTTACTGACACCATTTTAAATCTTCTTTTACACAATGTAGGTTAAACGAGGATTAGGTGGCAGAGTACGACTTATTTTGTCTGGTGCAGCTCCCCTGTCTAATCATGTTGAAGAGTACCTGCGTGTGGTAACTTGCTCCCTTGTTCTTCAGGGCTATGGTATGCTTGTGAAACCACGTCAATGATCTTATAATTAAAAAAAAAATGATATCTCGAGTTCCCAAAGACACCTAGTGTTTAATTTCGTTTGCTTGCTTTCTTCATTGCAGGTCTTACTGAGACCTGTGCTGGGTCCTTCGTTTCCCTTCCAAACAACATGTCGATGCTGGGAACTGTAGGCCCTCCAGTCCCCTATGTCGAAGTACACCTCGAGTCTGTTCCTGAAATGGGATATGATGCATTGTCAAAAGAATCACCTCGTGGGGAGATTTGCATCAGAGGGGACACCTTGTTCTCAGGGTACCACAAACGAGAAGACCTCACCAAGGAAGTTTTAGTCGATGGATGGTTTCACACAGGTATGCCAACATATGCATTTGAACAAATGTGTTTGTCACTACCATTCAAGAAAGGCAAGAGAAATCCAGAGCTTTCATGGACCTGTTTTGCCAAGAAGCGCTTTTCATATCAAAAGAGACTGACCTGTTAACAGAATGCTTTGACATTTCCCCCTGATTGAATGCTTCTTGTAACCGGCTCACTTTGATATCTTACTGTAGGAGACATTGGTGAGTGGCAGTCTGATGGAAGCATGAAGATCATTGATCGCAAGAAGAACATCTTCAAGCTCTCCCAAGGAGAATATGTCGCTGTGGAGAATTTGGAGAACATATTCGGTCAAGCTCCTGGTGTTGATTCGGTACAATCTGATAACCTAGCTTTCATTTGCTCAAAACCTTTTTTCCATTATAACCGATCTTACGTTTCCATATGTTGACATGCTGACTCGCCGTTATTTGACAATCTCTCCAGATTTGGGTGTACGGGAATAGCTTCGAATCATGCTTGGTTGCAGTGGTCAACCCGAACAAGCAAGCTCTGGAACGATGGGCAGAGTCAAACGGGGTAACTGGAGACTTTGCTACCATGTGTGAAGATCCTAAAGCAAAAGAATTTATCTTGGGAGAATTAACCAAGACTGGTAAAGAAAAGAAGGTAAGTAATTTAGACAAGTGACAATGCATACGCGATCCTCTCGCAGATTAGGATTGACTCATCGTTCTCTTGATCTTGTTACAACAGCTCAAAGGCTTTGAGCTCATCAGGGCTGTTCATCTGGAGCCAGTGCCATTCGATATGGATCGTGACCTAATTACCCCAACTTACAAGAAGAAGCGGCCACAGCTGCTCAAATATTACCAGGTAAGAACACTAGAAAAATATCTTCCTGCAATTTAAGGTACTTGGATTATCATCCGTCTAAATCTGGAACTCTGTCCGACAATCTGCCATTTTTTTTTAGAACGTCATCGACAGCATGTATAAGAACATGAAGTAGGACTGGACTCATGGCGGTACGGTGGACCAAAACTTCACTTAGTAGTTTCGATGCGAACGGAAAGAAAGAATTTGGTGATAGTTAGGCTTATTTTATTTCCATTTTCTCCTAAATTTGGACGTGTAATAGTTAGTCTTACATAGCCGTGCTAGCATGAGCGACCTCATATATTACCGTGTCAATTCTTGCATTTTCTTTGCACTGATAGAAAAGAGTGAACAGATACAAAACTGTTGCTGGCGAGTTTCTACTGTGTGAATTTACATTCTTTTATGGTAACAAGGACACATACTTTACTCCTGTATTGTTATACTTCGGCCCAGTTCTTTACGAAAACTGCTGATATAAGATAAATAAATATATTTTTAAGTTTATAACAATTAAAATTTAATTAATCATATGCTAATAACTTTCATGTTTTCCATGCTCTAACTTTATCTTTTTAGTGAAAACGGACACCACCTCCATATGAAGGATGAGTAATTGCTTTGCTTACCATAGGACTGCTGCCATTGGCCTCAAGTTGATGAGTTTAAAGGCTTCGTTCTAATGTGTAATGCAAGTTGCTTTACTTTTTTACCGGTAAGATATGAGTAATTAAGTATTAATTATTATAAACTTGGAAGATATATTTGTTTTGTTTTTCAAGAAACACACCGTACAGTAGTTCAGAAAACAGAAGACATATCCGATGAAAACGAGCTGAGTGTTGGAAACTCGTGAAAATTATATCTAAAAGTTTTGTAAATTCATGAAAAAATTACTCGAGATAGCTGTAAATATCAAATACATTCTCACCAAATCTCATCTCCAAACTCAACTTCATTTAGGAGGAAAAAAAAGACAAATTCTGGATGAACAGTGTCATGTTACTATTCACCCAAAATTTGTCTTTTTTTTTACTCCTTAACGAAGTTGAATTTAAACTTGATATTTTATGAGAATGTATTTGATCTCTACACCTATCTCTAGTAATTTTTTCATGAATTTACAAAACTTTTAGGAATGATTTTTACGAGTTTTCAACACTTAACTCATTTTCACCGGATATATCCTCCAGAAAACATGCTAATAAAAAATTAGAAAGTTGTGTTTAATCTTCCTGAAAAGAAGACAGCTACATACGCAGCTAACTTTTAGGTATGTCCTAATCTAACATTGTAAATAACTATAAGGGGGGTTTTTGGTTGTCAACCACACTTCGCCATGGTTTGCACATCTAAGGTTATGCAGGTTTGATTAACATTAGTAGCTGTTTGGTTGTAGCCACAGATGTGGCAAGATTCTTTTCCAACAAATTAGGTCTACACATCATTGACTCAAAAGTGTGACAAGATTTCTTTAGACTTGTTAAGATGTGACTAAGAATTTGATCGCCTCAACTTTAACAATATTTGTTGGCAAATGGTGGCAAAGTATGGCTAAGAACCAAACGCACCCACCGTGCACATAAGATGCTGTCGACCTATCGTTATCTTTAATCCTATACAAATTTTGTTGTCGATCGCGGGCTGAAATATTAATTCTTAGTCGTTTGTGTAGATTTTAAGAACGTGATTTGTGAACTCGTTTGTGTAGCAACTTCCAGCTGCAACTATCCATGAACTAAACTACCTGGAGGGAGAGCTCAACCATAAAACGCTAAAAATGGAAGGTAGTTGACAAGACTATCTGGCCCACACAACCGCATCGATTTCTGCCTGGGCGCTCCGATATAGTTCCAACCTCTTGGCGAGGTTAGCTCTACGCTCCATCACCGCGGGGTCTTCATCAAGAAGCTTAGAAATGTGCTTGATCTGCACAACAAACGGCAAGAGTACCAGTAAAAAAGTCGATAATTGTTCTTATATGATGCATAAAGTTAGGTTGTTTCCATTTATATAGTGCGCACCGATCGATACACACCACGATGACAGTTCATACGAAAAATATGGTTTACTGGATAATAATAACAATACACAAACAAATGTTCGGTCAGATTGGTGAGCAGAGATGCAGACAATCCATAAGGCGATAATTCTAATTCTCAGGCAGCTAGTATTATAGGCACTAACATGTATGATGGCATGATTCTATGTATATATATATATGTGCTACCTTTGAATTGGATTCTAATCGTGACAATTACTAAATACTCGAACGGTAAGAGCTAGTTTCATTCAGAAAATAATAATAATAACTATACAATAATGTTGAAGGAATATAGGGGCACAACCTCAGCGCCCCTGGGCACTAAGCAAATTACCAATCAAATTGCTAAGTAACTCACCTCTCTTGCTCCCAATTCTGTAAAGAAGCGATCGAGCAATGTGCGCTTTGCCTCCCGGACTTGGCAATAAACAATAGATTTAGGGATGGAGTTTCTCAAGCTTGAACATACCATATTGACATATGCCAGAACATTAGTACCTGGAAGTTGAGAATTACAATTGCAAGTTATGCGTTAAATAATCATTAAGCAATGAGTCAACGATGTTATGGTAAACGCATGGATCAGTTGTCAAATATAACAGCTTCATAGGATATGGCCAGTCAGGCCAGACAATCTTTTATGTAAGGATATCAGTAACCTGTAAGGCTGTAAATACCCAAACAGATGAGAACTTCTTTGAGGGGAAGATGAGAACTTACTAATTCGTCTAAGGTATGAATCATTGTATCTGTCAAAAATAGAGTTTGTTGGATTTCCACCCTTCTCAACATCCTGAGGAAGCTTCCAAAAGAAATCAACAGTTAAATAGCTGCACTCCATATCAACCAGCTTCAGAGTACTTTTCTTGCTTTCATTCCGCATTCTGTCCAATGATTCAAAAGCTGCATTGCTTATTTCCACACGGAGAGTGGGGAATTGATTTAACTCCTGCAAGAAAGTGATCAAACAATTTACTATGCTCCTTAAAATGATTATTCAAAAAGAGAATTTTCTAAACAGTTCTCTCTATATATTCTAATATTGTACGTGTTTGAACGATGACACAAATGCCAAAGTCCTGTAGGCAGGAGACTCAATAGATTTGATCTTGATAGTTTTCCCATACTGTATATGTGAAAATAGTGTAAGTTTACTCAATCAGAACTTTAACCCATTCCCCCTTTATACAAGAAAATAGAAGCATTACATTTCACGTGACTGAATGCACTCACTAATAAAGTGTAAAAAACAAAACTGTCCAGTGGAGCAATGGAAAAAGAAGAAAGAAAACATACATCTGTCTCACTGATAGCCTTGCGAACTAGTTCCTTGAGTATTGCATGGACCTACCAATGCTCAAAAAGTGTCAGATTCTGAACTACAGGAGAAATGTAGTAATCAATAACAAAAAAAATTAGCAAGAATGAAGACATATAACATACCGCATCAACAGCTGCCTCAGCCGGACCTCTAATACTTACTAGGCAAGACTCTATAAGATGACGATACCCTTGCTCCGGAGCTATGAGATGTGGTTGGTATCCATCAGCTTGTGTTATAAGCTTCCTTACATTTTCCATTGAAAGATTCTTATCAAACTGCAATCGTTTGAGAGCAACCGGAAATTGATTGTCAAATACATAGTAGATTTTCTCGCCACCTGGGCGCCTGCAAGATAAGAGTAATTCTTTGATAAATAGGAGTGGCCGAGTGGGTAAGCATCATGGATACAAAAAGGAAAGAAAGACTTCTTCAAAGACAGTGCACAGAAAAGCTATCTGTTGAATCATACATTCCATCCAGATGCTCCTTGTAGATACCATCGAACATGCGGCATATTTCCATAATTGTGTACAATTTTCCCTGCATATCAGGAACAGGAAACATGCAATTAACATATTCGAAGGCAAAGAATATTGCACACATAATAGTAATATCATGACGTAAATCTGAATGGAAACTAGAAGTATAAATCAAAGCAAAGAATCTAAAGTACACAATGAAGGGTAATACCACAGTAGGACTAATAATTTTGTAATTTGTTTGGGGATGAGTGGTTTTAACTTTTGCCTTTTGGGGGCCTAGAGAAGATTAAATGAAATACATCGACAGAAAAACAGAGAATTACTCCGGCATCTGCAGCAATAGGTTTTCCGAGACGATGAAGTTCAGCTTCTAGCTCTGCAATTGCCTTGCTTATAAGAGATTGGATCCCTGGAATTCTTGATTTAATCACAGATTCCAAATGCTGCAGGGAGTGCATAACAGATTGTCATGAAACCATCAAGACAAATAAGCCAAAAACACTGCACAGAGACACATCATATAAGTATAAAACTAAGTATACTTTTGAAAGCATCTTTGCTAAGTGCTCTGATCCCATTCTATGAGCAAGGTATTTATATTCCGTGGTATTTGCAAAATATTCACGCTCTATATGCCTGGCAGCAATCATGTCAACGCTCTTGTTTATATCTTGCTGGGAACGATTGACAACACCAATCCATGGATATTGTAGTCGATAGGATCTTCCTTCTAGCATCTGCATAACAGAACTCAGTTGGAAAATTCAGGTTCAAGCTGTTGTAGGATAACCTAGAATAATCAAATAACCTATTTGTTCAAGACAATTATCAAGTGTTCTAGTAGACAATAACCAATATACAACTTACATCAACAGCATTTGTGCCCTTGTCCATAAGATCAATTTTCGTGAGTACGCCAAAGGTCCTTTCACCTGAATTCAACAGAGTTACTATTCTATAGAATATCACAATTATTTTACAATTCTTTTATTGGTATACTAGGTTGCAACTATATCAAAAAAACATGATCTGGATGAGATTGCCACATTAAGTTCACTTTACATACAATTACATAAGAACACTCCCAATAATTCTAACCAGTAGCCACAGCATCACTTACTCGTACTCTTCTTCATTAAATTGGTACCTTTAGTTGAGCCATACCTTTTGGATCAACTTCACGTGAAATCTTTATGGCATCGGAAGTTGCAAGATCCTGATTTGCTGGAGAAATTGCAAGAATAATGCAGTTGGGCTGTAAAGAGTAAACTAGAGCATTTGTTATGCACATCTTTTATGGAATGTACAAGCATAACAAATGATGGGTAAATAATAGCTTATAGAGGGAAAGGATAAGATAATGTCAGTTGACAAAATTACTTAAGATGTGCATCATCACCCCCTTTATTCAGCTGAAGCTGTTACATATGCTCATCTATGGTAATAAAAAAAACTTGTGCAGGTTATTCAACAGTACCTTTTCAATAAATGAGCGAACCATGGTTTCAATGTCTTGCACAATACTGTCAGATTGTCCCTCTATTGAGCATCTCAACAAACCATTAGTCAGACTAACTGTCACATCAACAACAGAGAAAATAGTATCTAAAGATAAGAAAGCAACTTACCAACAGCTACTTTAGTAAGGCCAGGAAGATCAATAAGAGTGAGGTCAACAACTGAAATGAATAAAATCATTAGCAAACGGTAGGAGGTAAAATAACCAAATCACATGAACATAACAAAAATGTAAACAATAGGACTTTATATCCCAATCCCTTATCCATGTCAGTTGAGCAAAACTGAGGGAAAACAAAACGAGTAGGCTTTGTATTTTCCACGCTCATATTTTTCTTGTTCAGTTTTTCTTGTGGTTTTCAAAAATGTACATAATAAACTCCAATATACAAATTATATTAATATAAAAAAGATAGGATTATAAGAGGGGGCTGGCCAGAGAATAGCTGCAAATAGTATAAACTGAACAAACAAATTACCAGCATTGCATTACCATTTGGTGAATATATGCTCAAATAAATGGGCACAGGTGATATTTGCTTTTTATGGCCGGTAGCTCGTTCAGTTTCATCTGCAATCTCTTTCCTCACAAGAGCTGTAAAAATGCAGCTGTTATCAGTTTATCACTTGCCATGCATCAGTAAGATGCACTTAGAGAAGCACTTTACATACAATTTAGGAATAAAAAAACATGCGCCTCTGGCAGAAGATATACAATCGAATCCACATTTAAGGGAACAAAACACGACCAAAATCAAAGTAGTGCAGCAAGGTGAATGATCAAAAACTAGTTTTATGTGGTTAGATTGCATTATTGAGAATTACAACTATGATGGTGCATAGTGAGAGCGATATGATCTTCAGCTTGCATTATGCATCTCTCCCAGCATCATTATGTTCATATCATTATATCATTTGTCCACCAAAGCAAATGAGCAACAACCGGGATGAATTACCAAAATCTGTATATTTAACGGTAGGATTGTGCATGAACTCTGCGTATTCTCTATCTCCATTAATCCTATGGAGTTGCAGGACCAGAGGGCGCCGTGTAACAATTCCTAGAGAAGTCCATAACCAACATCACAAATTAGACAAATCAGGAAGCTGGCGCTAAACCTCTGTGAGCTCATCATCCTGAGACCGACCATACCTGAGCCTCGAGGCAGGAAATCCTTCCCAACAACACTCTCCAACACTGACGATTTACCCGAACTCTGCCATACATCACGAAATGGAATTAAGAAAACGGCATTCATGTCAAAACCCAAAATATTTGGTAGTATCTGATTCCACAATTTGCATCGCAAGCAGCCACACAACGAACACATATTTAAACCAAATCTAGCATGACGATCGCACAATACTTGATCAAAAATCCACGAAATGGCCCATTCTTAAAACCGATCTAACAAGCGAGTAGCCTACACCCAAATGCCGATCAAATCAAACTACAGGCAGCACGCGGCCACTGCGGCATGGGAACCAAAAACAAAATGATGGTAACTACCAAGAGGGAGGAAAGCCCGGGCGGCGCGGAATGAGGCACCGTACCTGGCCGCCGACGACGGCGATGGCCGGGAGCGAGTCCCAGAGGGTGGGCAGCGCGCTCTCCTCGCCGTGGTCGCCGAGGGCGGTGCACGCGCGCTGTAGCTTGTTGACGAGCGAGATGAGGTTCTCCATGGCGGCCGCGGGCGCGCGCCGGAGAAACCCTAGCCAGCCGCCGCGCTGGCCAGGCCAAACTCCCGGCTGACGCGGGCGGAGAGCGGGGCGAGACGATCGAGACGCGGAAACGGCGGGGGAAACGCCAGGGCCGGATGGATGGGGGGAGAAGGGGAGGAGGAACTTGTTCGATCGAGCAGACGAGAGCCGAGGTTTTTCTGGTGTTCGTTGGTGGTGTGCTCAGTACGCTTTCGCTCGAGTCGGGCTCCGGCTAGTTCGTTTCAACTGGTGGTGGTCTTCTTTTACGATAAACCCTCTCACGTTTCAAAGTATCGATAATCTCTCTCTAGTTCGATCGGCCAATCAGCCGATCCAAGGCCCAAAAACTGCAAGGGGGTAAAGGATGGAATACGTCTACTTTTCCTCCCTCGTCTCTTGCTGCAGCTTGAGTCGTCTCTCTCAAGCGCAAAATTGGGTATAGCGTCTTCCCCATGTTCGAAGATCGATGCAAATCACCTTCTTTGATGATTTGGGAAACGATTTTTTTTTACTGTGGTTGACTCGCTAATTCAGCGGGTGGGACTCACATATTAGCTATTTCCCCCCTTATCTCATATTCCACATGTCAGTAGGTAACCACTTCCCAAACCACCAAAGGAGGTGATTTGCACCGGTTCCAATGTTACACTTGGTTTTATGGTTGAGGAAGACAATTCAATCAGGAGAAGAGATGAGGGTGGCAATATAGACTTATTCGGTGAGGGATTGTTGCGCTAAGCCCGTAATGGGCCGAGTAGAGTAGTAAACACATCTAATGCACAATCGCCCAAGTCCCATTCGTTGGAGGTTTTGAGTTAGTGCATGGAAGAAGTTCACTTTGAATCCCTCATCTTAACGTCGAGATCCCAAATATAACGAGTTGTTTAACTTCCAATATTGGAGTACCCGAGATTCTGGGACAATATTGTGTACGGTTTCTAATGACGTGACGAGTTAGCTACGATCAACCCGACAAAGTCAGTGTGAGACCCACATAGCAAGAGCTATCTTCTTCCTCATCCCCTCTCTTCTCTCTTCCCCATCTCTCCACCTCCCCTCTCCCGGTGCTCTCTAGGGTGATAGCCAGTGAGGCCAAGGTAGCCCTCGGTGAATGAGTATTTCTTGATAATAGATAAAAGGCAAATTTTGCTACATGACATCTAAAAATGTGTAATTTGCTAATAGACATCGAAAAAACATGTAATGGCTAAAAGACATCATAAAAAATTGGTAATTTGCTAGATGACACTTTCGGCTCAATTACAAAGATAAATTCTTAAGAAATATGAAAATGTCCATAGGACCACATGCTTCAAACATAGCATCAGAGTAAAAAATTAGAAACTATATAACTCAAAATTTTTCATCATCCCAAGCACTTCACTAGCATACGTCATATTCCATCTCCACTCCAACCTCATGTCAAAAGCTTTTGACCCTAGGAGCATTCTCGTCTTTTTGAAAATTTTTTCTTTCTAATTGAGCCGAAAGTGCCGTCCAGCAAATTACTAGTTTTAGTGTCTTTCAACAGTGACATATTTTTACGATGTTTACCAGCAAAATACATAATTTTTAAATATAATGTAGCAAATTTTACCTAAACAGAAATTTAACCTCCAATTTAACAGAAACTACAATCTACAAAGTTATTGACTTAAAAGCCTAATAAAAAAGTAACTTGCATAGGATGAAAAAGGAAGACGAATAACCACTCCAATGACAAAAAGAAGAGATGAAATTTATTCATATAATAATTCTGATATTAAATCTCAGTTCAAAGTTAACGAAAATATATATAACTTTAGTCTCCAAGTTCAGCGTGCAAGGTGAATGGATTCCTTCTCACTGTTTGTCCACAACCAAAGCCATTATCCATTATGTTACTATGAAAAGTACATGCATATAATATTTGGTTGGAGTTTTATCGAAATCAAATAATTCCTACTAAGTCATAGACCCAAATATAAAGGGCATGCTCCTACTAATATATTTTTTAAAGTTGATGCCAAAAGGCCAACTACTAAACATACGAGAAATTAATTAATACGAATACAAAATCGAGATATCAAAATGATTATAACGGCTAGGTACCTATTAATTCTTAACTCCAAAGTTATTGGTCATGAAAAATAATGCAAACTGAATATAGCTTTTGTATTTACCGTGTAAATCTGAATTTTGCATTATTTAACAAGTACAATGTATTTATCAATTATAAATTTCAGAAATATTAAATCAAGACTAAGAAAAAGTATTAGTGTGGAGTCTATCAATAAATTTATAATTAAGTACTAATTTAATTTTTGGAGGCACTAATTAACAAAATTATAGATAATGGATACAATTTAGCATTCTTTTAGGATAAAACGTAGCATTTGCTTCAATATAAGCTACAACCACTTGTTCAAAACCAAGTATAAACTTAGTTTGCATATATCATAAATAACTCGAACGAGTGCACATGTTACTGACCAATAGCTCTCTTAAAATAAAGTCCAAGTTCAAAGGTATTTTTCAGTAAAAAGAATAAAGGTATGCCAATAATTAAGGTCATGTTCATTTCCTCGTTTGGAGGTTGCAACTTTTTAATTTTCTGTTAGCATACGTCTTACATATGTGTTTTTACAAAATCTTTTTATATATAGAAGTTTTTTAAAAAAATTCAAAGAAACTCATTTGTCAAGTTTGTAAAAACAATACTAAATTAATAATGCACTAATATCTTACTTTGTTTTATGTGCAAGTGAAAAGTTAACTGCTACCACTCTCTAGAAGTCTAGAACTGATCCTAAGTGTAGTTGCAACTTGCAATTGGATGGTTGAATAGATAGTGGTCGTTGATTCTTGTGTTGAACGATATTAAAATTAGGCTGCGTTCGTTCTATCCGGTTGGGAGTCCATCTCCTCCGTATAAAAAACAGAGCGATTCATTAGCACGTTATTAATTAAGTATTAGTTAATTTTTTTTCAAAAATAGATCAATATGATTTTTTTCAAGCAACTTTCATATATAAATTTTTTTTACAAAAAATACACCGTTTAGTAGTTTGAAAAGCGTAAACGCGGAATACGAGGGAGATGGGTTAGGACATGGAGCAAAGAACATAAATAGATATCAATATGAATCGCTGAACTTTTCGTATGCATGGATGTATAGACTGTGACCATTGCATTGATTCCGGCGTGATTGGTGGCATACATACGCTTCTTCTAGAGACAAGATCGGCAAGCTGAGACGGCTAGTGAACCTATCAGCCATCAGGCAGCGCGTGCCGCGACTTGGCAACACTGTACGTGATACCCTCACCACATAACCGGGAGTGCCTGCACCTGTACGTTAGCGGTTAGCCCTGGTCAAGAGTCTTCCCGGCGGCAAGACTCGTACGAATTCAATTCCCCTGCCAAGCCAAGACCGGCACCCACGGCCCCTAGGCTAGAAAAAGAGGAAAGGGCGCGCGCACGCGCGCTTGCGCTTAGCTGAAAAGAAGGCTGAAGCGATATGGATCATCTCGGCGGCATCAGGCTGCGGAGGCCGGTGCTGTCGATTGACAACGCGGAGCCCGCGGGGGAGACGGGGATGAGCGAGACGAAGAAGAAGGCGGCGGCGGTGGCGGAGGAGGAGGAGGAGTTGCTGGAGGAGCCGGTGAGCCCGGCGGGGCGGCTGTTCCGGGAGCCGCACTTCAGCTGCTACATCGTGTGCACGTTGGGCGTCGCCGAGCCGGTCGACCTGCCCGCCGTCCGCGCCGGCATCGAGGCCACCCTCGCGCGCCACCCGCGCTTCTGCAGCATCCAGGTAACGTGACCCTTCGATCTCCCCGTTCCCGGTGTCATGCATCAAAAGAGGATTAATTAAGGATTTCCCTTTTCTTCTCTCTTTCGATGCAAGCTTGGTTGGTTCGCGTCTTTGCATTTTGAATGCACTTGCAGCGCCGCTATCTGTGACTTTTTGTCTAGTGGAAAATGAGCACGATGAGACGATCGAGTATAGTGGGTAGAGGGTAGTGTATGTCCGAATGATGAGTAGGCCATTCATGGCCATACGATTTTTCACCATTTTCCTTCTTCTCTTTTATTCTTCTCACCTTTTCGTCCTTCTTCAGACCGGCGGAGAACGGAAGACGGCTTCCTGGCTTATGCCAAGCTAATTGCGTGTGGCGGCTTGAGTTGGAAAATTACTCTTCGTTTACCAGTCATGTAGCAATCGGCTACTCTCATTAAGCAAGTAAATCAGAGACACGTTAGTAGACCTTGTACGCTTGGTCTTTGTGGAAGGAAACTTGGAAGTTGAACCTCCAAGAAGATTCGATGGATTAGTTATCACAGTTGAGGTTAACCAGGTCGTAGTCGTAGGCCGGAAGTTAGTTAAGCACTTAACCCTGTTTTTCTAAAGGGAGTTAGGAACAAATTAAGCTTGTTGCGAACAGATTAATAGTTATGTTTTCAGTAGTGAACTGTTTCATTTAGGGAGACTGCATGCGTATGGTACGCAGCGTACACTATTATCCTCTGGACGAAGAATATCTCCACGGGAAGCATAATATCTTACGCTATCATGGCAATACGCCATGAAAGGGACCGAACGGTCGAGGTGGGCCTGCACCTGAATTTGTGCATATCGCGAGCTAGCTTTCCTGGCTCCAATGCTCCATTAATCCGTTCGTGTCGCGCTCAATCAGAATCGATCGAAATGAGAGCATGTCATAATCTGCTTTTACGTACACATTGCAAACCAAAATTATCTTCGAAATTATGGGTGTTCCCACGTTAACCAAGAAAGCAATCTGTACTATTCCAAGTTTCCAACCAGAGAAGGTGAAAATGAATTCGCAAGGGACAAACTTTGGATGTCCCAGTCCCAAGCGACGGTTCAAAATACCGGGAGGCACAGAGCTGGGGACCAGTTGCTGCCTGAAAGGATGGAGTAGATTGATTTTAAAGATTTAAATTCATTTTTTAGGGGAACCGTACAGATGATTTTTTTTCAAATATTAAAATATGAACTTTTGTACAATATCTTGTAACCAGTTGGTTGCCAGTCTAACCCAAATGACAAGCGCTTCTGTAAATACGGTGGGGGGGGGGGGCGCTACCATTGAGAATCTAGAAAATTTTAGTACAACACTGTATATTCTAGTCTTTTTAAGTGAGAAATTAGAAATTTGGGGAATTTGGGGGTTCATGTGCACCCCCCAAATACTATGTAGCTTCGTCACTGCCAGCATTCATATAGACTGGAGCAAACATTCAGTTAAAAAAAAGAGTAAATTGTATCAATGATACATGAACTTGTTAGGTGGGTGTAAATCTAATCTAATCTATGAGCTTGTAAAATGCTCATTTTGATAAATGCAATCTAATCTATGAGCTTGCAATCTAATCTGATATGTGCAAACTAAGGCTAAAATGGCACGATAAAATCGATTTTTCTAAGTTGAACATTATAAACGATTATAAATTAGTACATGACATGCATGCACATATGGTAGAAAGGCTATATTTATAAACTTGGTTTCTATCCCTTGCATCATTACTCAATTTTTATTTCTTTTTTATGCAACCATTATGTTTATTATATGTTTTGCTAAACAAATCTCTGTCTATGTGACATCCTTCTAAGACATATATTTACGTAGCATTTCAATCAATAACAAAATCAATAAGATTAACCTTGCCATATAATTTTAACCTTATTCATACATACCAAACAAGTTCATGCACCAAAACAAATGTTTTACAAGTTCATACACAGCATTGCACTTAACTGACAAGTTCATCTATAGTTGATGCAGTTTATTCAAAAAAAAAAACACCACAAGCACTGCAAGAAAAAACATAGATAATTTCTAACGAAATATTTGTAGAGCTATAATTTGCCTTACAACTCTTATATTTTTCGTATATGATTGTATTCTACATATGGAGTAGTACATCTATACTGATTACTGTATATCGTTACAATTTCAACTCACCGTGGTCAAACGGTATCTATATTTTTCCTTTTCAGGATGGTAATTTTTATTAAAGTCTCTTAACTCTTAATAACATACTACGTAGTATAAGCTTTTTTTCTTACAAATTGATCATTTTCAAATACTTATTGTAAAATTAGACCATGCAAAAAAAACTTCTACAAAAATATACCGTGGGCTCAGGGCTAGTGACATTGTCGCCGAGGTTGCAAAGATTAGCGCCGCTACATTGGCGCTGACCCCATATCCACGTGGAGCCAAGGCCGATCCCCTCACCGACGTGGTAGGGCCTCAGCGCCAAACTATTTGGCGTAGACACGTGACGGAGCGTGGGGCTCCTCACCGGGAGACCGCGCAGGCCTCCCTTTGCCGGTTCGGCCGGGGGCCCTGGGTGAGGTTCTAAGCTCCTAGCCTGTGGAAAGTTCGCGAGAGTGGAAACACACAAGACACGGGCGATGTATACAGGTTCGGGCCGCTGAGAAGCGTAATACCCTACTCCTGTGTTTTGGTGGATCTGTGTATGAAGAAGCTACAAAGTGCGAGCCAGCCCCCGATCGTTCTGGGATCCTTCTTTTTCTCTCCAGATCATCCCCCCTTTCACCACCTTCTCTTAAGTGGGCAAGGTCCTCCTTTTATATCTCAAGGGGATACCACATGCACCATCTCTCCCTCTCTTTCTTTTGTGTGGGGACTCATCCTCTCTTCCCTCCAACTTGACTTCTCTTCATTAATGGACGGAGATTTGTATGGCTGCCGTCCGAATGACCTTCTGATGGGACGGCCCATACCTACCTCCACTTCCGCCGGAAGCAGGCGCGACGTGGGAACATGGCTGTCTGCTGACGACATGACCATAGTCAGACCGGTCACAAATCGGTCATTCTTGTCCACCACGTGTCAGTTTAACAATCTGCATGTTCGCCCTTCTTCATACAATATCTTACCTGTAATGGTTAGGATGAAGCCTGGCATATATCTGACCGGAACCAACGTGCCATCTCCAGGAGCTAACACGCCGGCTCCGGCTAGGGACGAGTGCTTGGAGGCTCTCATCCTGATGGGATGGGGCGAGGCGTGCGTCAGACCGCCTGTCGCCACCTAACCCACGATCTGATCGGTCTGTGACTGGTCACAGACCGGATAAACGAGCGCGCTGCACTGCGTTACATGCGGCGTGACGCGCTCGTCCAAACCGCAATAAATGTGGTTAGGTGAGCCCCGCTATGCTTACCTACCCCATATACGCGGCGCAAAACCCACAAGGGGTCGGGACGCCTCGGCCCTCGGGGCCGAGACGGGAGCGGTCCGACCCCTCGGGGAGACAAAGAGAAGGGCGGCCGTATCACCCTCGGGCCCGACCCCCCCCCCCGAGGGGGTTAGGCCACGTGGGTGATCGTGTCTGCCTCAAGTCTCTAAGTCATGATACTCCCGGTCCCATGTCACCGACAGTAGCCCCCGGCGTTATGCCAGGGCGATCGCCCTCCTCGAGGGAAGCGGTCGGGCGTGACGCCACTTCCTAAGGCCTGGTGACAGGTGGGGCCGGTCTAAAAATCGGGACAAGCCGGTTCGTTTTTCCTGGAGATATGGTGATGGCGCTTCGGTCGGCGAGCGTAATTAACGCGCGCACGAGATGTTCCATCTCGACTGCCACAGCCGCATATCCACCTCATGCACCGCAAACGGGCGAATGGGATTAGTGGAAGCGTGGGCGCGAGAAACGAGGGGGCAAGATAGTGGGCGCGTGAAACGAGGACCCGGGCACAGCGTTGGCAAGGGTATAAAGTCGCCGAGGAAGAGATTTGCTTCCTTCCTCTCGCCATTATTCCCCTTGTCTTTGCCGCTTGCGCCCTAACTCCTTGTTTCCTGTGCCCTACTTTCGCCACACGCGCTTGCTCTCAAACATCTCTTCTTCCGGTGTCATGGCACGGGGCTCCGTTCCGCTTGACGGTAGCGTGCTGCCGCCTTCCCGCATCGTGAGCGAGAGACAGGCCGGGCTGCCGCGCCGCTTCATGCCGGAATCTGCCACCGGCCGGGAGATAGTCTCACTGGGCGAGGGATGCCCGGCGCCACGCTACCCGGGGCGGTCCGTCTTCTTTCTCCCTTTTGCTATGGCAGGGCTGGTTCCGCCATTTTCTTCTTTCTTCATGGATGTTCTAGAGTTTTACGATCTCCAGATGGCGCATCTCACCCCCAACGCGGTAATGACATTGGCCATCTTCGCGCACCTGTGCGAGATGTTCATTGGGGTGCGCCCATCCCTTCGGCTGTTCCGGTGGTTCTTCACCGTACAGCCGGTGTCGCCGCCGTCGGTGGTTGGTGGTTGCTACTTCCAGCCGCGGGGGCCGGTGCTGAACCGCTACATTCCCTGCGTCCTCCGCAAGAAGTGGGATGACTGGAAGAGCGACTGGTTCTACACCCCCCTCGCCGACGAAGCGCGCCTCCGACTTCCGAGCCAGCCTCCAGCGCAGGCCTCCAACTGGCGGGCGCCGGTAGATCTGGGAGATGGCTACGACCCCGTCCTCGACCGCCTGGCGGGCCTGCGATCCCAGGGGCTCACAGGGGCCATGGTGTTCGGCGACTATCTTCGTCGCCGGATCGCGCCACTCCAGCGGCGCGCCCGGGGCGCCTGGGAGTACACCGGGTCCGAGGACTGTATGAGGACCCACCGGGGGGTCAAATGGGACTGGGTCCCCGAAGACTTCAAGGTAATGATCCAACGGGTGCTGAATCTCAGCTCCGCGGAGGCATCCCTCATCCCCCAAGGAGTCCTCCCCCTCTGCAGCGATCCAGATCGCGCCAACATCCTGTCCATCATGATGGCGGT